TCGTCTTCTATCACAGGGAAATAGGATAATGATTGGCTTATTTTTTCTTTTGGCTTTTTTGAACTCATCAAGTAATATCATTATTTTTATTCAGATCTCTTTTCCTCACTAAGCAAAATCTGCAAGCACGGAACATTTTTAAATATAATCTTGATTCTCTATACTGACAAGTACTTGATAAATATCAGCAAATTAACGTCTGGACCTCTTTGGATTGCTTTAATCACTTGAGAGATCACCACTTCCCATACTCCCTGAACACTCCAGGTCTACTGATGTGTTAGCTGAAGATAATCTAATTGAGAGAAAGCAAACGTGATTAAGGGTTGTGGACATAAATGGTCAAGTGCTCTTATGTGTTTTCATCAATTCTTCCACCTGCTCTGGCTGGAATGTTAAGACATTTAAACATTCTAAAACATTCATCAATGGAAATCTGATACTTAATCTATTGGCTCATATCTTAACGTGCTGTTAGACACCTGCACTTTAAAAAAATTGGCTTGTTGCTGTAAAAAGACAAAAAAAAAACTGACTTAATAAAGAAATTGGATTTCTTCTCTGCCTTTCTGTGTTCCTGGGTGCGGGACAACGTACTTAGAAATGGCCACAAGAGGGGAGTATGAACCAGTCATCTCTCACAAGTGAATGGGATTAATGAGTCATTCTTTTTCTCTAGCTGAATGGTGAAAGCTAGATCCTGAGCAGCCAGTTGAATAATCACACTCTCTCCAGCTGATCGGAAAGAGTGAATGGGCTCTATCCTTTATGTAAGGCACCGAGCATGTTCAACCATCAGTGCCCACACACACCACCATCCTTCCTGGAGGGAATCAGGAGGCTTGAAGGATAGAGGATGAGCCATCTGAGTCCCTCAGCGTCTCTTCTGTGGTTTCACCTTTGTGTTAGACCAGGACACTGAGTGCACAGGGCTCCCAGATCTCCTTGTTTCAGCTCATTTATATTAGATTGTGAGTTGGCATCCCTCAGGCCTATATTGTAGGATGCTGGAAAACACAGCTGTTTAAAATACAATATTTGCATCACATAAAGATATTTCCTAGAAATTTGCACATGTTCTTTTTTTTTTAATTAATTTATTTATTTATTTTATTACAAAGTCAGATATACAGAGAGGAGAAGAGACAGAGAGGAAGATCTTCCATCCGATGATTCACTCCCCAAGTGAGCCGCAACTGCTGGTGCTGCGCAATCCGAAGCCGGGAACCAGGAACCTCTTCCGGGTCTCCCATGTGGGTGCAGGGTCTCAAAGCTCTGGGCCGTCCTCAATGGCTTTCCCAGGCCACAGGCAGGGAGCTGGATGGGAAGTGGAGCTGCCGGGATAGAACCAGCGCCCATATGGGATCCTGGTGCGTTCAAGGCGAGGACTTTAGCCACTAGGCCACACCACCAGGCCCTGCACATGTTCTTGATTTAAGAACCATGGGAGAAACTCCACTTGAAACTCAGAATGTAAGAAAAAGCTGTACTTGTCTAGGAAAACCTGTTTGTTTTATTTATTGACTTTGTAAAAATCTGAACTTATCCTGCTTCTTTCTTGCACTGGACTGTCAGAGGCTTTGTTTATTGCATCCACAGGCACAGTGCCCATGTGTGGGGCCTCCAGAAAATTCATAGATGCTTCACATTATACAAAACTTATGCGTGGATTTCAAAATATCTTTGGCACTAAAATGGATTTACATTACCAATTCTATTTCCATTAACTTAAAAAAAAAGATTTATTTATTTTTATTGGAAAAGCAGATTTATAGAAAAAGGAGAAACAGAGAGAAAGATCTTCCTTCCATTAGTTCACTCTCCAATTGGCTGCAATAGCTGGAGCTGAGCTGAGCTGAATCCAGGAGCCAGGAGCTTCTTCCGGGTCTCCCACGCAGGTGCATGGAGTCTGTACTGCTTTCTCAGGCCACAGGCAGGGAGCTGAATAAATTCCCATGAGCCTTTTCCAATGCTCTCCTCCTAGACGTCAGGCCGCTGTAGATATGATGGAGAAAGTGATGAGAAGAGTGATTTCCATTCTCATGAAGCTTGCAAGTCCATGGAAGACACAAGTGCTATTCAGATGAATGTGTGAACTACAAACTAGAAAGTACCAAGAAGGAAAGCAGCCTGGCTGTGAGGACAACAGGACTGGGCTTTCTTCAAGAACCTTTGAACCCAAAGATATTCAGGGATACCTGGGAAAAAGTGGGTAGAGTCTGGTACCCACAAGCTGCTTGAGGGAACCCTCAGAGGGAGAGAGTTCCATGCATTGTGCACTTGCAAAAACACCAAGGGGTGGAAGACACTCTAAGGGTGTGGGGAAAGAATGGTCAGGGCTTGAGGGAGGAGTATGGTTTGGATGCCCATTTCTGCTTTTTAACCGTATCCAAGGTGTTGTTTTAAGCCATATCCCTTTTCCATGTCATCCTTTCATTAAAAAACAAAGCAAAACAAAAACCCCCTAAACAAGCAAACAAACAAAACCCCATTTATTTGTGGAATAAGGAAGGGTGTAAGTGAAAAGTTATTCCTGATTGCATTGTAAACAGAATCTGCAATTAAGTGAAAATCAGTTTCACCCCCTGCCAGGCTACCCCTTATATATCTGCCCCTTGTATATCTGCAATACCCCTTGTATATCTGCAACAAGATTTGAGGGACAACATGATCCACAAAGGCTGACTCCACTAGCTGGATCTTTAGAGAAAAGTTGGAGAGCTACCCTGCTCAACTTGTTCTGTTTATAGCTTTCAATAATGTGTGTATATATATCTGTGTACATTATGTGTGTATATGTCTATATCTGTAGATATATATACACACATACACACGCCGACACACACACACCTATGTCTTATTTTTAAAATCTTTATCAGGGCAGAATTTGTTGTTGTTGTTGTTTATGCTCACCAATGTATTCCAAGAGTCAAAACTACATGACAGATCTTTAATAACTATTTATCAACCAAGAGAATGAAGGTTAAGTTTTATACAAGTATTAGGTAGGTAGTTGTGATCATTACAATTTTTTCAGTTTGACCACAGCTTTTCTAAAGGACATAACACAACATCTAGTCTCCACCTGCCATGTGAAAAGTAATCAATATCACCAGACTTTGAGGGGAAGCGCACCCTTACAGACTTCTCCCAGAGCCTCGTGTACCTGCTTACCACAGCCAGAATGCTCTCACTCTCCCCAAATAAACACCAGAGAAAAATACTAAAGTAAACATCTTTTGGTCTCAGAAGCTTTCAGCTTTTGTTAGGAAGTGCTATTTTCATGTTCAGACGGGGGAATGCCTATTTTTACACTATATCCAGACAAGACTTAACTATTGAGCTAAATAGGCAGGTGCATTTCCCAACTATGTCTTTATTTCTCTTGCAAGAAATGAAGCCAGAAACTCATCCTTGGCCAAAGAAATAAAATGTTTTGCTTTCCACTTCTTTTTAGCAATCGATAAAATTTTTATACCTGTTACAGGCAAACATGAGTTCTTATCAGATGGGGGCTTGTCGGTGTGGATTAGCCACACATTTCCTGCCAAAGCATGAAGATTGAATAGTTTCTAACTGGAATGCTGGATTTGATTTTTCACTTCTGTGAAATTTTGGGTTGCTACTCCGGTTGTAGTTTTCAAAAACTACAGGCTGGTTTTTGGATAGTTTTTAAGAGTGAACATGAACTAAGTGTTTTGGAGCACTGCAAAACAACTGCTGTGAACTATGAATGACTTTTCATTGAGCAAAGTCTGGAAACATTGTTGATTGTCATAGCTAGGAAGGTGCTGTTGGCATCTGACTAGATAGTGGCCAGGAGAACTGTTAACTATTCTAGAATGACTGGAGTGGGTTCCCCAATTGCCAACCCTCTCTGTTTTCCCAAGAAAAGATTTTTCTGTCCAGTAAGACACTCAGGCCAAGATTAAGAAAACCTTTTTCCTGGGTTATAGTTAACACACTCCCCTCTCCTTTCTAAGTCATTTGTTTTCTTGTTGCCTTGGAGATGTCATCACAGACAACCTGGGTTAGTAATGGGTGCCCATGGTATCCTTCCCTTGAGGGACATAATGACCTTTGAGCAGTGTGAGCCATCATGTACTAAAAATACTCACAGAAGAAGGGAATTGTGTGTCTCCAGATTCCATGGATGTGTTTCCTAGGGATGCTTTTCTGAAATTAAAGTCATTTAAGAAAAAACTTTAACCTACATGTTGTCTGTGTTTTTGCAGTATCTAGAGAGTCATAGTACAAACCACTTTCAAAACCTACAGCTAGCATGTTCATGGTCTTCCCTTGGCCATCCTTTTCTGGAGTGTCCGCTTTCCCTTTCTCCAGCTTTGTTTGCTGGGTTTCCCTGGATCTTTTTTCTTCTGAAGAATGTTTCTGTCCCAATCTTGAATTTCCTTCCCCCTGCATGACTAAATTCAGCATTTAGTCAACCATCCTTTGTTCCTCAAGCCTTCCCTGGAAGTCTCACACTTCTACCAAGTCACGTTTTCTGTACAAACACAATGCCATTAGAAGGTGGATTTGAGGAATAAAATATTCCTCATATTATCGTAAATATTTTCCTTAGAATGTTTAATAATTTTATTCCACCTAGACTTTCTCAGGTAAGTGATAAGTTAGTGTAAAGAATGATAACCAAAGAGAAGAATTACGTCACTGAAATATTAATTAGGATTGAATGAACATTGTGATCTTAGACATTTAAGCCCACAATTTTTTTTGCTGGAATTTGCTGTGTTTGCTTTTAATCTTATAGAAGTCTTGCATTCTTGAGACCATAGAGCTGGTGTAGGGACTATGGCCCACAGAGAAGGGCTCCAACCAGCAAGTCTGAGGGGTTGAACTCCGCACTATTAATGTGCACAGCATCCTCTTGCAAAAAATGATGTGGAACTAAGGAACATACTTGTGTCTTTTTATGTACATAGAAGGTTCATATTTATTTGTTCAGTGACATTATCTACAGCTGAGTATAAATTAAACCCCTATGTGTACACCAAAGCCAGGTTCTTTGAATGGTTCAAAGAGGTGAGACCTCCAGCTGACTCACAAGAGAAGTGTCCGCTACTTGGCCCAGGTTTTGGCATTGCTTTCAGCTCATCAGTAATGTCTTCAATATCCTTAGGTGTCAAGCTCTCGTAGTAGTTGTCACTAATTTGAACCATAGATGCATTTACACAGGCCCCTCGAAATTCCACCAGAGTGAGAAGTTTGTCAGGTGTAGTTTTCCCAACCTTGATCCCAAGCTTTTTCTGAATGGCTTCCAGTATGCTGTCAGAGGTTTGGAGCATGCAAGAAGTAGTAGTGCAGACTTGAATATGATATTTTCCAACTAATGTTTGATTACACATTGTATAAAAAGTTGCTGATTTGTATACTCTCATTGGAGGTACATCTAGGACTTCCATAACCTTGTTCATTGCAGAGATAGGTAGTCACCCATTCTGCCTCTGTTCTAAATCCAGGCCTGGGAGCATAGCTGCTGCTTGATGCCCTTCTGGATAGTTTTTTGAAATTACCTCTATCGTCTTGGTTTTCTGACATGAAATAAAATGCAATATCTAGGTTATTCTCAGGAATGCCTCTGTGCACATATAAGGCTCCTCTAGCGGGCGAAACGGTTCCATCCTTGTGTCTTAAGATCTGTATTGTATCTGGTATTCTTCAAGGAGATGCTAGTGATTAAGATGTAGTGCTAGGTCTTAAGGGAATTTTTCAGAAGAGGATTTTCCACTTAGAAAGTTGGAAATAGTCTTGCTGAAGATTTAGTTAGCTAGGTGTTCTCCATTAGGTTACATCTCTTCTCTCTTCTCTTCTCTTCTCTTCTCTTCTCTTCTCTTCTCTTCTCTTCTCTTCTCTTCTCTTCTCTTCTCTTCTCTTCTCTTCTCTTCTCTTCTTGTCCCGTCTCTCCTCTCCTCTTCTCTCCTCCCCTCTCTTCTCTTCTCCTCATCCTCCCTTCCCCACCTCTCCTCCACTCTCTTTCCCTCTTCCTCTCCTTCTCTCCTCTCCCCTTATTTTCTTGTTTTTTTTTTTCTTTTAAGATTTATTGATTCATAGTTAAAAAGCAGTTACCAGAAAAGGAGAGAGAGAGAGAGAGAGAGAGAGAGAGAGAGAGAGAGAATCTGTCCATCAGTTCACTCCCCAAATGGCTGTAACACCCAAGTTGGACTGTTCTGAAACCAGAAGCCTGGAGCTTCTTTTGGGTATCCCATGTGGATACAGAGACCCAAGCACTTTGGCCACTACTGCTGCTTTCCTAGGCCATTACAGGTAGCTGGAGCAGCCGGGGTTAGAACCGGCATCCATATGGGATGCTGGCCTTTGGCAGGCAGAGGCTTAATGTGGTATGCTGAAACACCAGCCCCCCATGTGTTTTCTTCAAGAGAACAGGTGCTTACCTTCTGCTTTTGCTCACTTTCACTCAGAGTAATATCTAAAATCCTACCAGTAGAGGCTGTACCCCAGTGACACTGCTGACTTAATCTCCTTCTCTATGCTCCTCCTCCAAATGTTCATGAACCCTCTCTGACTATACTACTTAATGTCAGAAACCACATCCTCCTCTTCTCTCCTTTGGAATTGTTCTCCCTGGCTCCTATCCTCACACATATATATACACACACATACACATATACATACATACACACACACATATATATACATATATATGCGTGTGTGTATGTATATATAATATTATTAATGATCTCTTAAAATTACCCCACAATTTGATATTTACAGTGCATTGTGCCTATTTTCTGCCTGTCTCTGCTATTAGAATTGTAAACCTCTGAACAGAAGAGATATTTTCTATTCTGTTCACTAATGGCTCTCAAGAACTTAAAATGTGCCTGCCTCTTAACAGCCATTCCCTACCTGATTGTGAACTTATTAAAGGATTGGTTAAACAGAGGCAGGGTTAGGGCAGAGATCATTCTAGGGAATGTGAGGCTGTCAGGGATAACTTGAAGACACCACAAATCTAGACAGCAGGAAAATGAAGTAGAGCTGGGGGAATCATATATTCAATTTGTAGCTTTTTCTGGGGCTTACCTTCTTGCGTTTGCCTGAGGTATTTCAAAATGGCTGGGTCTATGTAATTATAAAGGTGTGTGTGTGTGTGTGTGTGTGTGTGTGTGTGTGTGTGTGTGTGTGTGAAAGACACACACACAAGAGAAACAGAGAGAAGAAGGGAGGAAGAATGGAGAGGAGGAAGAGGAGGAAGAAGAGGAAACATTTCAAGAAATCCTTCACTTGGTCTCTTTTATCTCCTGTCTCCATACACTCTTGTCTTCATGCTTGTATATGCAGCATACCGTCCAGCTTTATTTTTATAGTCAGGCCAAGATGACAAACTCAAGATGTCACTGGTTGTAGCCTTAAATACCTCTCAGGACCACAAAGAGACAAAACAGCTTTGCTTCTACCAGACACAAGACAAAAATGACTCATCAGACAAAACAAATCTCGTTTTTCAAGCCCACCTGTTCACCGCGTGGAGCTGTGGTCACTCCGTATTTCAGTATGTTCCTGCTGATTTTATGTTACTAGAAGACCAGAAAGACAACATTACTTAATGTTCTTCCTCCCGCCCTTTGCTGGTTTGCAGGCGTTGGCAAGAAGCACTTTTGTGTGTGTGCAGTTCTGAGCTTTCTATTAGTTTGGGAATTGCAAACAAGACTGCCTGGTTCTAATTTGTTTTTTGTTGTAATTATGTTTCTTTATTTGAAAAGCAGCGAGAGAGACAGAGATCTTCCATCTGTGCTCATGCTTCAATACCCACTGCGACTGGGGCCAGGCCAGGATGCAACCGGGAGCTAAGGATTCCATTCCGGTCCTCCATAGGAGTACCTGAATCACAGTCTGCTGCTCCCAGGGTACATAATGGCAGGGAGCTGAAATCAGAAGTGGAACTCAATTCCTGCCCCCTGTCTAGCTTTCAATCTTTTTGCTTCAGTACTTACTAGGATGTATGACTCAGGGTAGGCTATTTATTGTTTTTAATTTGGATTCCTGTATTTAAATGTATGCTGATTATTCTAAGTTTAAAATGAACCAATACACATGTGCATGCAGCATGGTGTCTTAATAAAGGGCAGTTGGCAGGCTGTACAACACAAGCAGTTAGCTCACCAAGATCAATGGTATGGTTTGCTTGCTTGCTATGCAGCTTGGGGCAAGAAACTTCTCTGCCTTAGTTTTCTTAAGAGGCAAATTACCTGCCACACATGGTTAGTATGTGGATTTGTTGAAACTGCTTAGGCAAATAACTTAGCAAAGTCCCTGATGCATAGAAAGCTTACAATAAAAGGGAAATTTTATTTTTTTTAATAAATGTTTATTTTGAATTTTGAATTGTGTGGTACAATTTTGTGTAGGCTGGGATTCTCCCCCCAAACACCCACCCCCCATCAGATTTTTAAAAGGGAACTTTTATATCCTTTTCCCCCCAATATGTTACTGTGCAACATAAAATTTATCGTGTTAACCATTTTTAAGTGCACAGTTCAGCGGTACAATAATATTGCGCAATTATCACTGGTACCCGTCTGCAAAACTCTGTCCAAGCTGTAAAACTGGAACTCTACACACATGGAACAGCATCTCATCCCCCTCCTTCGTACCATTCCATGACAAACACTTTCTGACTCCGTGAGTTCAGCTACTCTAAGTACCGCATGTGTAAGCAGTCATGCTGTTTTTGTGCATTAAGTACACTTAATGCGCCATTTAGTGCTTACCACACTTAATTTGCTATAGAGTCACTCAAGTGGTAGTTTGAACCTATTTAAGACTGAATGATATTCTATTATGTAAATGTACTGCACTTTGTCAACCCATTTATCTGCTGATGGGAATTTTCTTCTTTGTTGAACCATTGGAAATGCAGCCGTACTTCCTAAGACTCTACTTTCAGTTGTTTGGAGGTATAATCAGAAGTAAAATTGTTTGATCATATATTATTTTTATCTTTTCTTTGTTGAAAAACCATCATACTATTTTCCACAGAGGAGGAATCATTTTACACTTTCATCAATGGCGCACAAGAGCTTCAGTTACTCCACGGCTTTGCCGACATTTGTTATTTTTCGTTATTGATACAGTCACCTCTTAGTGAACCTGAGGTGATGACTCTCATTATTTTTACAAATGTGACTACATTAACTACTCTTATTACAATCACTACTAATATAACCACTGCTTCTTCAGCTAAATTCACTAGGTAGCATGAGAAATTTGAAAAATTTTTAAAAAACCCACCTTATTCCAAATGAGACTTTAATTGTTGATGCTTTCATTAAATTTACTTACTTGAAAAGCTTAGTAAAAGAGAGGAAGTGAGAGTGGTTCCATTTACTGATTTAACTCTCAAATGGCTGCTGCACCCAGGATGGTCCAGGCTCAAACCAGAAGCCAAGACCTCCACTTGACTCTCTCACATGGGTGCTAAGGACCCAAGCACATGGGTTGCTATTAGCTGTTTTCTAGGTGCTTTAGCTGGGAGGTGAATCTGAAGTGGAGTGATCAAGAATCAATCCATATTGATTTGGGATATTGATGTCCCAAAGAGTGGCTTCACTTGCTGAGCCACAATGCCCATCCCTTATAATTTGTAAAAGCAATGTTCCTTACCTTCTTATCCATGTCTCTTTACTGGTGAATACTCTGAAGGTACTGGAGTAAGGGGAAGCAGAAGCAGTGATGGAGTTCCTTGAACAGCAATCCTCACATGCAAAAGTGTCTGTCTTTCAGTCCATTCAGTTGTACTAGGACGTGGTGATGGACTGATGGTAACACAAGGGGAGACCTGGCTATAAATAGAAGAAGCTGATCAGTGAGGCCTCAGGCTGCTCATCAATATATCTATATTGTCCTTCTTTACTTGTCTGAGTAATAACAGATAGAGTTGCTCTATCTGCCCAGACATCTGTATCTGGACTTAACATGTGAGACAACAATAAACATCTACTTGGCTTTTGATAACTTTGATTTACAACAGGTACAGCCAGATTAGCTCAGTAAAAGTGGAATTTAACTACAATAACAAAGTCAATTTCCAATAGTTTGAATATAGTGAAGACATTTTCAGAAAGAAAGTGCATTCCGCTATGGGGCAGATGAGTGACAGTTCAAAAGACAATGCAAGATTCTGACTTTTCATCTGTTTTCTAAATCTTTCTTTCATGGTGCAGACTCAGCTCCAGTGACCAGAAATAACCCCAATAACTCACAATTTTTTGTGTGCAGTGTTGTCAGTTACTAGAGCTCTTAGGGGTTTGTGTGGATCATTTTTCTGCAGCATGGTCGTGGGAAAAGGATGATCTAATTTTATAGACTGCGACTGTGATTCATCAGAGAAAATTCGAAGCAAATGGAGCCTCTCTAAGGCTGGCACCACTTCTTAACTGTGCCTTTGAGAACA